TTTTTTTTTTTTTTCTTCTTTGCTTTATTTATTTGTTAAGATTAATCAAATGAATCATTGAAAATAAAATTAAGAATCAATCACGTTTACCAAGCAAGAATGCCTGGAATATATTTTTCAATTAACGATAAATAATATGGTTCAAGTTCATCAATATTTGGTAGATCATTGTCATTTTTTGTATATAAATCAAATTTTTGAAAACATCGAACCCATTCTAACATTTGAAGATCTTTTTCATTGCATAAATACATATAGTCATTGCCTGTATGCCTAAAAGATTAATAATTTTTTTTTTTGTAATAGTTTTCAAATAAAAAAAAAAAAAAGAAAAACTCTTACCAAGGATAAAATGAATGATATCGTATGATATATAGACCTTCCTCGGGTAGTGTACATGCCGGATGATTAGTTAAAACACGATAAAGATATTCATCATGTCCCCATGACATCATACATTGATCAAGACCACAATTTGGTGTATACATACCATATTTAGTTGAATAAATTTCATGATGTAAATCAGGATTATTTTCAAATGTTGTTTTATGATAAACAATTTTATCACTAAATTGACAACCAACGGGAAATGTATCACCAACAACAGCCCATTGTGGTTCATTATTTAGGCCTAAAACTTTTCCCAAATCATGTATAAGACCTGTTAAATGAAACCAATCTTGATCTGGATATGCTTTTCGTATAGCTTCAGCTGTTTGAAATCCATGATAGATATTTGGTACATCAACATCAGGATCACTTTCATCAACAAATGTACTTAATTTTTTTATTGCTTCATAAATTGTCATACGATCATGATCAAATTTTAACCAACAATCATATTGTTTACGAACAAAATCTACACATTGATATGTATGCATCTGTTTATATGTATTATGCACTCGTTGAGCAATATAACCATCATCATTTGTTGGTTCTTCAATATATTGTCGAAAGTCAGTATTAGGATTTTCTGTTTGCAACATTTTTCTTTCGAACAATTTGTGCTCATTTTTTTTACTAGATCATAGAGTTTATATAGGAATAGAGTAACCATAAAAAATAAAGTTTTATCTTATGCAATCAATTGATAAAAATACTCGAACGTAAATAATAGATAATAAAAAAAAATGAATTGTAAAAAGAAACCTACTTTGTTTTTTTTTTCCGTTTTTGCTTATATCTTATGTTTCATACTTCTTCACTTATGTTGAGTATCTATTTGACAATGAATAATGTCATCAGAATAAATGAAGAAATTTCTTGTCAACCTTGACGAGCCAAGAATTCCAAGGAAAATAAAACTATGAATAATGATGTAACGATACAAAGGAATGAAAAAAAAAACTAACTGATCATCTTATCCTTCTGTTGTTAATGTCCTCCAACACCATTTACTTAACGAAACTCAAATTCGTTATTTCTTCCGTCTCTGTATTCACCTTTCTGTTTTCTCTCTCTCTCTCTCTCCTTCTTCTTCGTCTTCGTCTTCTTACTCGTATTCTTTTCGTATATCTTGGCCGAGGCCGGATGTACAAGCTATTTAATGCGTCATTTTCGTCGACGCTTTTTTTCTTTTTTACCTTTTTTTTTGTCGAGAGGTAAAGAATGACGCCTAATATATGTACATACTACTGTCGTTGGTAATAGCCATCATGATGATGACGATAATGTTAACGTTTTCTTACAACAACAATGTATATAAAAAAAAATATCATAAAATAGTGATAATTACCCTAATGACTACTCCTTTTTTTTATATCATGAAGAGGGAAAAACCCCGGAGTTGATATGACGTAGTAAGCATGATTTATCTTTGTACTCATTACTTCATTATATGATAATTTAACTCTTAATTAAATAGACAGAGAACAAAAGAAACAAGTAAATGTGAATTTCTGTACATATAAAATCTTCTTGTATACACTTGTCTCGCCGTTAGACAATATATGTATGTTTACATTCATATTAGAACTAGAAGAAAATGCATGCATCTATAAATGATAGACACAAATACAAAAAAACAAAAAAAAAAAAAAAAAGTCATGTTAATACTACGAAAATATCGTCTTAAGTTCAATTAATATTAGTAATTGAAATATAATGAGAAAAATAAAATAAAATGAATTTGTGTTGTTAATTGAAGCTTGATTACACATTTCTTTTGCACACATACAAAAACGTCCAATTGTAAAATTAGAACCAGTTGTATGTCGATAACAAACATCAATTTTTGATAAACGATATAGAAAATAATCAGTTAAACAACCACGTCGTACAAATGTATCATTTGTTGATGTACCATCAAAATGAAAAAATTTTACACAATAATCTGAACATTCAACTGTACGATTAGCACGATGAATTTTAAATGGATCACCACAATAGTCATCAACACGTGAATCACATTGATAACAAACAAATTTTGCCATCGTACATGTTTCTTTTGTAACAACAATAAGTAATGTTCGTAATTGATGAATAAATATCGACAAATAAATACTAGATAGCTATTATTTTAATAAATAAATATCATCATATAGAATAATTTATAGATTATACTTACAAATTTCATCGCTTATCATTCGATAACATATTTACTTGATAGAAAAAAAAAAAAACAAAATAGTAATTTCTATTTTTAAATCATAATAATAGTAATAAGAAATATAAATAAAGCATATCTTCAAAAAAAAACAAAGAAATATAAATTAGTAATATTATTCTATTTAGACAAAAAAAAAACTCGAGGGTTTGTAATAGGATGCTAAAGTTATTTCAATTTGCTATATTTAAGCAAATACACCTAATTTATCTCGGATAATCGACATATAAAAACTTGTAGTCGTTGTTTTTATTGAGAGAAAAAGAGAGAACTAGAGGCGTTGAGTATTGGTGAAACCATCATCGTCATCATTCGTGCTACTATGATTTTGGGTTAAACCACTATCTTCTGTTTTTTATTCCTGTTGTTCTTTCCTTTTTTTTTTTCTATTCGCTTCATCATCATCGACATAACAACAAATTGGGTCTAATGCTTTGCGTTCCACTCCTTCTTGTTCTTCTCTTATTCTATGTAGCTCTCTATCCATCTAGCTACATATTGTCCTAAGCATTGGTCGTAGTAATCCTATCCAGACAAAACAACTCGATAAGTATCGCCTATTCAATTTAGCACTAAACGTTAGCAATGTCAAAAAAAAAGATGAAACCTTTCAATAAAACAAGAATATATAATTTGAACAATGGGATCGATATGTCAATATGATTGTTCACTCAAGCGATGATAGTGAATAAAAAAAATTCTATACTATACTAAAATTGGCTTGCCATATTTTTCTGTTTTTCTTTCTCTTTTTGTCTCTCTTACTCTTAGTTCTTACTTGCTAACGAATAACAGAGTGAAACTTCTTCCATGGGGAAATTCTCGTTTGCAGTTGTTCTATTCATCGTTTCCATTCTTGCCATCGTTGTCGTTGTCTTTATCATCAATAAATATTAGGAATCATGAAATGAAGGAAATAATAGCATTCAATCATTGATTCATGTTATACTATTCTTTTCTTTTGTATATTTAAAATGATTTTCTTTTCCATATGGTATTGTTATCGATTAAATGAGGTCACAAGCATCTTGATTTTTGAAGTGGTTGAAAAATATACGACGTAGTTCCACTTATTCATCATATACTTAGTTAGTGATGTTGTGATTAAGTTAAAATATCAAGATAGTCATGTTCAATTTTCGTATTGGCATCATATGGTTAGCTTTTCTTCCATCATGAATGTTGTTAGACGTGTCTTTTATTGTATAAATGCGTGGTTACCATTTTCAAGAATAGTTTTTCTTCTTTTTCTTTTCTCTCTCTTCCTCATTTCCTTTTCTACTGATGACTTACCATTATATTCTATGAACAAATTACTGAAAGGGAGGTCTAGTATGCTAAACATTTTTATTCGTCATTTTCTCGCTTCACAAACATACACTTATAAATTCTCTTTCTCTCTCTCTCTCTCTCTCTCTCTCTTTGTTGCTCTCAATAGACATTTTATTATTAGCAGTCATATTAGTATTACTATTCTTGAAGTCAAGCAAAACGATATTGTATTTAGTGTAAACTCGAATATATAAGATGCAAAAAAGAAAAGAAAAGAAGACAAAAGTATCTCAGAAAGAATGCTGACGCTAATCCGTTGACGTTACCATGTTTGTATGTGTGTTTTCTTTTTGCCGATATTAATTATTTCATGACCAGATAAATAATGATATAACGATTGAAATATATATGTATATATAGTCGTACTTATGCATAGATATCATTTCCAAAGAAAAATGTCATGATGTGCCTCCCTACTTAAAATATGTTATATATATATATATATATATACAATCAAACGGATATTGAGGTCTGTTAAGCAGAACACTCAACATTCTATGCAATGCAGACACAACTAATACTTTTATATTTGCCATTTATTACCTGGCATGGCTTCCGGTATAGCTATATTATAATATTTCTGTACGACGAATGTAGACATACAGCTCACCAATCATGAAAAAAAAAAAGAAAAGAAAGAAATTCTAATAATTCTACTCCGAATGACATGAATAATATTTGTCTAAAGTCATTTCATGATATGTCAATAACGTTTTTTTTTCTCTTCTTCCTGGCATCATCTTTATTGACTATAGAACATTGTCGTACGATGTTCGATTTATTTTTTTATATACTATAAACAAATCCATCGCATACAGTATGTCAAAGGGAAAAAGAAAAAAAAAAGAAAACAACCACCACTTAACTTAACAAAAATTCACATAAACAAACGTTAATAGAAAACATTAGTATAACATAAAAAAACACTCTGTAATTCAATCATGTTTGTCCGTACAATATTTTATGTTTTCTTAGAAGCAAACTATTTATCGTTTATTTCATTTTTATTTTATATGTCTTTATTTCTGCTATTGGTACATCAAGTTTTGATGTAATAGTCAATTGATTTTGTATAGATCTTAATGATAATGATGTTTGTTCAATTGATTGTATTTGATTTGCTGGAAAAAAATGTTCTAATATTGGCTAAAAGAAAAAAAAAATCAAAAAGAAAAAATAAAATCATATTATTTTAAAATGAGATAAATAATTACTTGTTCAAAATGGAATAAATTATCATAAATTTCATCACAATCATAAGCAAATCTTCGTAATATTAATGCTAAATTTTTTGAAGAACTATGTTTGGAACTATTACGATTATCATTTAATGTACGTAAATTAACTAAATGATAATCACTTGGAAATAGATTTATTTTAGAAAATAAATTTAATTCATATTGAGGAATTTTTATTGATGTTGATTGAAATATATGCATAGGATATAGAAGTTCAATTGAATGATGATGAGCTAATAATGTTGGATAACCAGTTAATGACATTCTATCAGCAATCTAAAACAAAAACAAACAAATTTTATTTTATAAAATTACTTTTACATACTGTATGACGTGGTTCAAATAGAAGTTTAAAAGTACTAATAATTTCTCGATTATCTGTAACACCTTGTCCTACACCACGATTATCATCACGAGTTAAACGTCGATCAAGAAAAACATCGACAACACCTAAATTAAATCAATAATTAATTAAAAAAAAAAGAATTATTTTCTTTTTTAAAATAATTACCGGATTTTAAACATGCTACACCGGATGGTTGACCAGAAAGAACTGTAAATCTCATATGATCATCTTCAATATAAGCCATAGTTGGCATTGGATAAACATTACCTTGTAATGGTAATTTATGATAAGTTTTTCGTCGTATCGTCTATATTAATTAAATAGAGTACATAACAATAAAATCGAATAAAACGAGAAAAAAAAACAAATCGTTATAATTTATTTTTGTCTTCTCAGGTGAAAAAAAAATTAGACATACATTCTCGTAAGATCAGAGAAAATCATACAAAAAACAAACAGATCCTA